CTCGAACCACATTGGGCTCACACTGTTCCACGCTGGATGCCAGCGAGCTGTCTGGGACCACGTCTGAGCCACCTTGGGCCCAAAGCGATCTCGATCCTCTCTGCAAGGTATGGCTCCGAAACCCAGGGAAGGGGGCAGGGATAATAGGTGGGGTCCCAGTAGATGGGGTCGGAGGATTGCGCCGCATCGCCAATGTATCGGCGATGCATCGGCGATGAATCAACGACGTCGGCGATGCATCGGCGATGTCTGCGTGGATAAACTCGGGCTCCACATCGAGCCGCATCGCCAATGCATCGGCGATGCGGCGCGATCCTCCGACCCCATCTACTCCGTCCCCATCTGGGAAGCCTCAGTCTACCTCCTTGGGCGCGAGAAGACTGCCAGCGCGCCTCTGCGAACGGCTCAGGCATAGAACATATAACTCATGTTTCTAGAACCCTGAAGAATGCTCAGGATGGCAAAAGTTCTGGCCATAAAGAACGGTGTAGTAACACAGCGAAATGCTCTCAGAACCTTAAACACTTTCTTAGGGCATGCCAGAAACGTGTTCCCAGAACGTTGGCGATGGTCGCGCGCTGTCCTAGCGTGGCCCTGCAAAGCTCAAAGTACGCTCCAACGTTGCGAAGGAGGGGCGATCCCAGGAAGCTCGAGATGACACCCGGCGTAAATCCGAGAAGCCCCACGACTGCCGCACAGCAGTTCGAAGTCCCACCTGCCCTCTGGGCACAGGTGGTTCAAAGACATCGCTAGTGCTACCCCTTTCTTCTCCTCGGGGAAGGGTCTGTCCCTCCCCCATATCTCCCCTGGGTTCGCGACCAGGGCTTCGCAAGGTGACCGCAGGTCCTTTTGGGCCAAAGATTGCTCCAACGTGGAGTCAGATAGTCCAACAGTGACTCCAAGATGGCGCAAGATAACCCAATCTAGCTTCCAACCAGTCTGAAAGAAAACGACGACCGCCATGAGACGACTCAAATAGGCCCCGAACCTCCTAAGGGCGCAACAAGAGTCCCAAATCATTCAACGGACACTGTGGTTTTCAATGCTAGTTTGCATGGCCACCGCTTCGCTTCCCAGGAGCTTATGAACCTCCAAGATGGCTCCAAGCTGGCCCCACAGACCCCCAAGCAGCGCCCGTGGGGGCTCCAGGGCAGCCCCAGGAGCGCTCAAGAGCGCCCCAACAATTCCCCGCGAAGGCCCCAGGGAGCGACGCTGAAGGCTCCGACGCGGGGAATGCAACCGAGCCCGTCTCCTGTGCCCGATCGACGGCGCCCAGACCAGGCCCTCGCCCGGACGTCCACGCCCCTGTGCATGCGTCGGTGTCGTGCGTGCCCTGTTCGGCTCCATGATCAAGGATGCTCCTCGATGGCCCGCGCCTAGAAGCAACTGCACACGTCCGGGCGATGCCCACAGAATTGCCCCCAAAAGGCTCCCATGGCCCCAAAGAGGTCCCCAGGGGGAGAGCCGAGGCGGTCCCGAAAGCCGCCCAATGGCGCCAAGAACGCCCCAAGACCGCCAGCACGGCGCCAAGAAAGCCCCAAGATGGCTGCAAGCCCAGGGAGAAGTCCGCGACGGCCAGTGTAGCTGAGTCCTGCCATCGTCGTCGTCGTCGCCGCCGCCGTCGTCGCCGTCATCGCCTTTCTGCTCCCCATTACGCCTCTTCGTCCTCCTCCTCGACCCCTTCCTCTTCTTTCTCATCCCACGTCATCTGCCGCTCCCTCCTTCACCTCTTCCTCCTCCCCCTGCATCCGATTACTCGTCCTCCTCCTCCTCCTCCTCCTCATCCTCCCACTTAGGGTTCACCAAGAATTGACTGGGAACGCGTTCCGTCAGAGTCCTCTTGATTCTGCTCGCATTCCTCCAACCCGCATGTTCCTCCTCCTCCTCCTCCTCGGCCTCCCTCCTCCTTGTGATCCACCTGTCCTCCTTATCCTGCGGCACATCCACGGATTCGTAGGTAGTCACTCATAAGGGGGGCAAGCGTCGACGCTTCCCTCGCCAAAACAATGTGTATGGGGATCGTTCCTGGGGGAGCTGGTGTGATGCGTGATGACGGTGCATTCCCCAATACGTCTCCCGATCTACAAATCTCATTATTTAGTGACCGACCATGTTTCGTTCGCTTCTCGCCTCGTTGACTCTTTGCGTCGAGTGGGCAACTGACGCCTCAATATAGCCGAATTGCCATCAGAGAATGATTCAATGCAGATCCAGGCGAGCCCGCGATGGCGCAGGCCCCTGAGAATGCACTGAAGGCATACCGAGAGGGCTCGAGTACACAGTCTATCAGTTTTCGGAATAGGCGAGGCGAATTTCTTGTTTCAGTCTTCCTTTCCTCGCATTATTGGCAATCGTCTCCAAGATGCCGCAGTGGAGCCCTGGGAACCCAGTTGGGCTCCAGCGAACCCCAGGTAAGCTCAGTACGCAACGCAATAGTCAGCGAGTGTCGGCCATTGCTCCCATAAGCCTCAAACAAAAAACTCAGATGACCAAGGATTGATAACGTGTTAGGGCTTCTGGGGGGCTAGTGCCCAAGGCGATGGACAATCAAGAACGCTACCGGCTGCGACGGTGCGAAACGCGCAGTCGGCAGTGAGAAGGAACATGAGCGATAAAGGACCAGAAATCGAAGGGCGGCCGATGATCGTAAACTCACGCTGAGGACGACTCGCAGTCAAAAGGCCGGCGCGTGATTCGCTTCGAAGTCTCGCGGCAGTCTCGGGCGCCCAGCGTTGGCCTGGGGTCGCGGCGACGCAGGGGGATCGGGCCCTTCGCCACGCTGCGCGACGTCAACTCTAACGATTCATCGCGCGTCATGCCTACCAGTATGTCGGGCGTGTCACCCTACAGGGGGATTGTCGACGAAAAATAAAAAAATACCCCGAAAGTGCCCCAAGAAGGCAAAAAATACGCAACAAATTATCCCCCGACCATTTTTTTGCTATTTTTGGGGTATTTTGCATTTTTGGTAGAAAATTCCCCCTGTCGGGGGACAGGCCCGACTTGAGCCTACCGCAGCGAATACGCAAAACCCTTGGCAGCGCCGCTTGGCAGCACGCTGCACCGAAGCGCACTGGCCTGCCCCGCTGGCCGGCGCGGCCCGCCGTCGCGCCGTGCGCACAAAGCACCACGAACGGCTCTGTCCACGTCTATTGCGGTAGGCCCAAGTCGGGCCTGTCCCCCAACAGGGGGCTTTTCGACAAATACCCCAAAAATAATCCAAACATAGTCCAATGATAGTCAGGGGGACTATCTTTTGAGTATTTGTTGGACGTTTTTGGTGCAATTTGGTGGTATGTTTTGTTATTTTTCGTCGAAAATCCCCCTGTAGGGGGACACGCCCGACTTAATGCTAGGCCTATCAAGGTGCTGGGGCGCTTCGTCACTGCTCTGGAGGAACAAAAGCACGGCACAAGCATCAACGTTTGACGGTCCGCGCGGATGTCTTGGATCTGCGCCGGACCCCCCCTCCCTGGCGCGCGCGGAGCGCGCCAGGAGGGGGCCGAGCGCGGATCCAAGAACTCCGCGCGGAGAGCCAAAAGTTCATGTTTATGCCGTTTACTCCCTCGTCGACTCACAACCTTGCTCGCTACGGGCCACCAGGACGCGCCGAGGAAGAAGCGACTGATCGCACGCCGCACTACAAGCAGCAAGTTGCTCGTGCTCGGGGGCGGCCAAGAGGGGGGCGTCCAAGAGGGGGGGGTGCAAATCATGACTGGCGGCACGTGCGCGGCCCAGCGGGGGGGCCGGGGACGTAATGAAATAAGAAGAGGCGCCCTGAAATCTGGGGAGATCTCATGGCCCCCGCCATGACATCCACCCCCCCCCCTAGTCCTCACCCCCCTCTTTGCCGCCCCCGACGTGTGCAGCACCGACAAGCCCGTCAGACTCCATGCCGGCGCCGCCACGCAGCGGCGGTGCACTCGGTTCCCGGCAAGCCCGAGCCTGACGCTTCCCCGGGGCGAGGCCCCCTACATCAGGTCGGGCATGTCCACCTACAGGCGGGCTGCGGAAGAAACATTAAGCCCGATCAGATCGGGTCGGGCGAAAGGGGGGTATAGCAAAAGGGGGGTTTGAGAATCAGCTCGCGTAGCTGATTTTCCCGGCGCCTCCCAGCGCCGGGAGGCGCCCATGTATCGAGGAATGGGCCCCTCGGTGGGGCGGAAACCAGCTGCATGCAGCAAATTTCGTAACCCCCCCTTTCCCAATCCCTCCCTTTCGTCCGGCCCGATCAAAACAAATCTGACAGTAATCAAAAGAGCACGGAAAGCCGTCACCAGACGAATGATGCTTGACCTACTCCTGAAGACTCCTCCTGTAGAGGGCCATGCCCAAAAATCAAGGCAAGCCCGAGTCTCAGGCTGGCCCCGGGGGCGCGACCGCACACGCACCAAGACTGGGCCCACAGGACGGGCCCGGCCAACCTCGGCCGGCTGGTCCGCGGACGTCCCCCCGAGCGCCAGGAGCCTGCTGCAGGCAGGCCCAAACCGAAGGGGCCCTACAGGCAGGCCAAAACTGAAGGGGCGCTGCAAGCACACAGACAGATCAATGTACGCGCAGGACCCGTGCTTCCCCCCATTCCCTCCTCACTCTCTCTTACCCTTCGTCTTCCCCCCCTCCCTCCCATACTTTCCAAGCATTTCCTGGGGATCGACGATGCCTCGTTCCTGTGCCCTTTTTCCCCCCCCCCTCCGAAAAGCAAGGGCTCCCAACTTCGCGCTTCGCAATGCGCGAAGTGCAAAAAACTGCGCGCTCTCGCGCCGTCTCCCAGGGGAGAAGAGGAGCATGAGGGACCGGAGCCGAACCGCGAAGCGCGAACAACTTCGCGCCCTCGAGGGCGCCCTCGGGGATCGACGATGCCTCGTGCCTGTGCCTCTTCTCTTCCTCCCCCTCCGAAAAGCAGCAGCCGCGGCCGAACCCCCCGGACCTCCGCCGGCCCCCCCGCGGCCCCGCGCGCGCCGACTGCACCCCCCCCGGCCCCGCCCGCCCCCCGAGGCCACCGCGCGGTAGTCCTCGCGCGACGTGGCGGCGTGGCCCGACGTGCCTGGGGGGGAGGGGGGGGCGTGGCTTCCTCGATTGAGCAGGGACCGGCCGTCCCGGCATTCCTATAGTCCTGCCACGACATGTTCTCAGAACCCAAAAATGCTCTGAGAACAAAAACAGTGTTCTTAGAACATAAACCTGATGCGATAAAACAAGACAGACTCCGCCAGAAATGTCCTAAGAACATTTCGTGGAAACCACAAGAGGTTCTTAGAACCTTGCTTGGTGGGGCTATAGGCGAGCCAGGACGCTTCGCCACTGCTTGACTCGAGGGGGCCACATGCGAACCCTACTAGAGGAAAGAGAACTGTGCAAATGCACCGATTCTGGCCAGGCCCACCCTGAGCCCAGGATCGGTGCATACGCCCTCTACCATTGTCCAGGAAGGCATATGAACCGATCCTGGGTCAAGGATGGGCCTTGCCAGGACCGGTGCATGTGTATAGTTCTCTTCGCCCGACCTCTAGGGGGCCACATGCGAACCATACCCCTACCCCCCACGACTTCTGAGGTGGAGGGCGGGGTGCCCTTCATGCGGGAGCTCTCGAGCGAAGCGAACCACACCCTCCCCCTCAGAAGTCGTGGGGGGGTGGGGGTAGGGTTCGCGCGTGGCCCCCTATCCTTCTTGCAACCCGCTTCCGCTGGAGCATCTCAGTGAGCACCTTCTGAGAGGCCTCCGTCATAACGGTTACGCTTAAAGGCAACTATGGACCCGACTCGGGGGTCCATCGGAGCCGGATTGGCCCAGACTGCGCCCGGGAGTAAGCTGCTTCTGTCATCTAGGGCTCCCAACTTCGCGCTTCGCGCTGCGCGAAGCGCGAATAACTTCGCGCTCTCGCGCCGCCCTCCCAAAGGGAGAATAGGAGGACGAGGAGGAGGGGGAGAAGGAACGAGGACCGCGAAGCGCGAAGCGCGAATAACTTCGCGCCCTCGAGGGAGCCCTTGGTCATATCAGGCACTCTGTCATTTTAGGCAGGTTCTCGACCGCGGACATGCCAGCGCCGATGCCGTCTGCGACCTCCCAGCAATTGCATCCTTATGAGCCGCTGCCGACTCTCCATGGGGAAACCAAAAGGTACCGATACCGCTACTCCTCGGATCTCTCCCGGGGTGCGTTCTGACCAGGGTTTCGATGCGAATCCAGCGGTGGCGACGAGGGCCTCCCAGGAGGCTCACAGCATGGAAAACGGAAAACGAGGGGAGGGTAGCGGATGGGTACCTTTCTTCCTCCGACTCACGCCTGGGATAGGACGAGCAGAACTATACAACGCCAGCAGTCTTGGCCGAGCCTACCTATCCTGGGCCAGGAGCAATGCACACGCCCTCCTGGCCTGGCCAGGACGGGTCCAGGATGGGCCTTGCCAGAAATAATGTCTCCAGGGACCCAGGGACACACAAACATATCGACACAAATCCCAGGATGAACTATACTTTCCCATATTTTCTGGGTTTTCGTCTTCCCCCCACTTCCCATAATTTCCCACATGTTCTTTGGAATCGACGATCAATTGTGTCTGCGTGTTTCTTCTCCTCCTGAATGTCGTTGCACAATGAACGTCGCCCGAACGGAGTAATCACCGCAGACAGAACAACCTTCCGTTGACAATCCGCCGTCTGCACTGGGATCAAGGCTTGGCGGCAGGCGACGAGAGAAAGCAGCGACGGGGCGGAGGGCCACAGACGGGAACGCGACCTCCTCCCCTCATCTCGGAGATCTGCTGACCCGGGTCAATGCACACCCAAGTCAGTCAGGCTTTGCAGGAACTGGCAAAATCCTGCAGGATCCTGCAGGTTCCTGCACGCACGCCCGGGTCAATGCGAACTTGGCCCTGCAGGATCCTGCAAGATCCGGCGCTCTGACTGACCCCCGTTTGCATTGAACCCGGTCCCTAAAGACCCGACCTAAGCCCCTTCCCCTCCCACCCCTTCTCCTTCCGCCCGAGTCAGCAAGCGGCGAGAGAGCCCCCTCTGCTCCCGCCCGCGCAGCCAAGATCGCGAGATGAGCGCTGTCCGCCCCATGGCGTGCGCTGGATCATCCGCAGACTTTCTGTGAGCACTGCTCCCCGTGAGGCAAACGTCAGCCCCTGCGGCAACTAGAAGAGAATAACAAACGATAAACATACAGTCGGACCAAGGACATAATCTCATCTTTAAGAACATGAGACACGCCGCCCGCCAACACACACAGAGCATCCAAGGGTACCCTTCCCCAGGACGCGCAAGAACATCCAACAGAGACGAAGAACACTAAAGTACCCTCCCCGAAACGACCTCGATCTTTTACCTCGGTCCGACGTTCAATATAAGCTGGTGGAGACCCGCGCGGATTTCTTGGATCCGCGCTGGGCCCCCCCCTTGCTGGCGCCTACGACGCCGCCCCAGGGGGTCCAGCGCAGATCCAAGGAGTCCGCGCGGACCTCCGACAGCGTGTGCTTATGCTGTGGCGACGTCGGCATCAGTTTCCGACACCGCGTGGGCCTGTCAATATTGAGCGCTTGCGGCCCTGCAGGTCGCTCGAAATCGGCCCGTTATGGGCCCCTGGCGGCGTTCCACCCTCAGAGTCCACGCTCGGGTTGCTGCTGCGTCGACGCAGCGCAAACCTGGGGTGTGCATTCGGAATCCTCCACAGCTCGCTTCGCAGCGTATTGAATGGGAAGGCCTGACGTTGCTGCCTCAGATGCGCGCAGTAGGTAAGTATGCAACACGGGACCGCTGAGCTAGCATGTCTTGCGATGCAGATTCTCAGGGTTCTCAGGGCACGGTGGGAGGCCCCCAATAAGGCCCAGGAGGCCTCCAAGCAGCCCCCAAGAGGCCCCCAAAAGGCTTCCAAGAGGCCTCAAACTGCCACCCCTAAGCCCCCGAGAGCCCTCGGAAGAGACCCTGAGGAGCATCCCTGAGGACTCTGACCCACTAGCCAGGCGCGAGGGCGAGACGGGCCGCCACTCCGACCCACTACCCAGGCACGGTACCGTTCTCGCCTTTCTCGGCTCTCAGAGGCCCACGACGGCCCAAGCAGCCTCCCAAATGGCCCCAAGACGGCCCAAAAAGCCGTCAAAAGGCCTCCATGATGGCCCAAGCGGGCCCTAAGACGGCCCAACTCAAGAGGACCCAAAGAAGCCCCAAAACAGCCGCGAGAGGCTCCCGGACTGGCCTCCGAATGGGCCACACGCCACAAAAGCGCCCCCAGACGGCCCAAGACGTCCCCAAGAGGCCCAAAAGAAGCCCCGTGCAGAAAAGGCCCCAAGAAGCCCCCAAGACGCCTCGAATAAGCCAAAAAGAAACTCTCAAGAGGACCCGCAACGACTGGACTGTACGTCCTCCGGACGTGCACCCCGCGAAGCGAGAGGAATCGAATCGACAAGTCGGATCGGCGATCGACATAAATCGGATCTGCAGAAATCGGCAGCCGAGTCGGGAAAAGTCGAATCGGTGGAAATCGACAGCCTGGTAGGCCTCCATCGAGAGATCGGAACCAGAATCGGGATCCGAAATCGAATCGGATCGGAATCGGAAATGATCGAAATCGAAATCGAATCGAATCGGAGGAATCGAGATGAGCCCTGGGGGGCGCCTGGGAGCGCCATGCCCATGGCCTCCACGGCCGACGCCATGGTGCACGCGGTGAACATGGCGCTGCAGGTGCCGCTGCCTGGCGCGACCCCAGAGGTGCGCAGAGAGCTGAATAGCCTTCGGTTGGGCATGTTCCACTACAGGCGGATTGTGGACGAAAAATTGAAAAGAGTCAAAAACACATAAAAACAAAGTATCCAAGTGCGACCCTACCTAGGAGTTGGAGCCTCTAGGAAAGCAGCATTAGCAGCAGCAGAAGTGGATGCTGTGCTGCGCTATACTATGCTATGCTATGCTCTGCGCTGCTCTGCTCTGCTATGCTATGCTATGATATGCTATGCTATGCTATGCTATGCTATGCTGCGCAATGCTATGCCTGACTAGGCTAGCTAGGCTAGAGTATGCGATCATGTGCTATGCTATGCTATGATATGCTGCGCTGTGCTATGCTAAGCAATGCTATGCTATGCTATGCTATGTTGCGCAATGCTAGGCTATGCTATGCTATGGTATGCTATGCTATGATATGCTGAGCTATGCTATGCTATGCTATGCTATGCTATGCTATGCTATGCTGTGCTAATGCTGCGCTGCGCTATGGTGCTCTGCGCTAAGCTAAGCTAAGGTAAGATAAGCTATGCTAAGTTAAGCTAAGCCAAGTTAAGCTAAGCTAAGCCAAGCTAAGCCAAGCTAGGCTAGGCAAAATCAAGCTAAGCTAAGCTAAGCTAGGCTAGGCAAAGCTAAGCTAAGCTAAGCTCAGATGAGATAAGATAAGCTAAGCTAGGCTAAGCTAAGCTAAGCGAAGCTTAGCTAAGCTAAGCTGGGTGAACCCAGGGGGCGCAACTGGGGGAACCGCGGGGCGGATCCTGGGGGAACCGCCCGGGGTGGGCCCCATTGCCCGGCCCTTTAAGCATACCGAGTAAGAACCCTTCTAGGCAGAGCCTAGATAGGGAACAACTTATCGAAAAATCGTCCCCTCCTCCTGTAGAGGGACAGGCCCGACTGAATAGCCGGATGGGGACTGGGGCGGCGTGTGCTCTGAGAGGCCTCCCAGATGGGGAATCCGAGCAGCTGGGGTCGCAGGATCGACTCGCGCTGCACCGGCGATGCATCGGCGATGCATCGGCGATGCACCGGCGATGCACTGGCGACGTCAGCGATGCCTCGGCGACGTCTAGGGGAACAAAAAGTGACATAAACATAATTTTCGGAGGTCCACGCGGATTTCTCGGATCTGCGCTGGACCCCCCTCCCTGACGCGCGGAACGCGCCAGGTGCGGCGCCGGAGGCGCCGCCGGGGTGCCCCAGCGCCGATCCGCGCGGGCCTCCGAGTTTTTATGTTTATGCCACTTTTTGTTCCCCTAGACGTCGCCGAGGCATCGCTGAC